CTGGTTGTGTCTGTCGCATAGCGTTAGGGACAGTCAGTGCATCTTGGGTTGGATTCAAGAGCATCAGATTCTATTTCCGTTTACTTTACATTTAGTGTTTAACTGATAAGTAGTGTAACTAGTAGTATATTTGGTTAATATAATACATCAGGTAGAAATTGTCTACTTATTATATTAAATATCCGAATCAACTGCGAGCATACTACAAATCAGCAAGACCGATCTCCTCGAAGAACGAGGTCCATAACAATAACAAAGGAAATTTATTAATGAAAAAATTAAATGGTAATAAGACACTCCATTATTTCAGAGTAGTACCTGCTACGAAACATTTTAGAAACGTTATACTATTTTTTTTTTAGCCTGCATCAACTCAACCCTTTCGAAATTTGGAGGGAGGGGGAGGGGGAGGAGGGGAGGGAAGGGGGAAACAACCTCATTTACGAATGATTAAAACAATCGTCACAGATTATTAATAAAATTCAATGGCGTAACAAACAATGGATCATCGAACGAAAAAAAGAAGTACTAACTACAACTTCTGTTTGTTTCTTTCTTTATAAACATTCCACTTGCGTTTTATTATTCGTACAAACAACAACAACAACAACAACAAAAGGATTTTACTAAAATACACATTAATGAAAACAAAACAAAAAAAAAAAAAGAAACTTTTTGATAGTGTTGTGACGTCATCAAGGCTCGAAAGTTTTTTTTTTTCTTTCGTAACTTTCATAACTACTTAAAGTATTTATTTAAATTTTTTTTTTTTTTTTTTTTTTTTTGGGGGGGGAGGGCAATCGAACCTATTTCGTTTGTTTTGTGTTTTACTTTCGTCACGTGACAAATGCGTGCGAATTAAATCTGATTGGAAAGAATAAAAAGAGGAAGAAAGACTTCTTCGTTGTTTGTTTTAAACATTCGAATTTTATAAATTCTAATCCGACTCCCTAAATTTTTTTTTTGTTTTTTTTTTTTTAAACAATTATTTTGCGTAATAACAATAAAAAAAATAATAATAATAATAATTTTTTTTTTTTTAAATCGTACTTGAACTGTCAAATTTACTGTCAACGCTCTTAATTACAATCACAATCACGTTCATTCATATTAAAGAGAGACTTAAATTGCGGCTTACAATTAATTTTCTTCTATCTCTCTCTCTCTCTCTCTCTCTCTCTCTCTCTCTCTTCGTTTGTTTTCTTTTCTTATTATTATTATTAAGAAAATAAATAAATTAAATTTGAATTATTAAATTTTAAACTACTAACTACTAATTCCCCTCCCTAGCTAACTAACAATCGTGACCGTGTTCATGTTAATGATGATGATGATGATGATGATGATTTATTATTATTATTATTATTATTATTATTATTATTATTATTATTATTATTATTATTATTATTATTAGTTTTAAAAGTATTAAATATCGCATAATTTAAACTATGACATAAAATTAACTCGATAAGCATTCTCATTCAAAAAAAAAAAAAAAAAATCCGCGGGCGTTTGTATAAAACGCAAAAGGAAAAATTTAGAAAAAAAAAAAACGGACGGATTGCATTTCTTTAAACAATGAGGAAAAAAATTAATAAAAAAAAAACTATCGACGATAATAATAATAATAATA